CGAGATTGCTAAAAAAGCTACTCTTCAATTTCTTGAGAACTTCAAGACCCCTGTGGTTATGGGTGATGAAGTTGATAAAGAGATGCTGAAAATGGTTGCCAGAACAACACTAAGAACTAAGGTATTCTTCATTTCTATGCTTTATCTTTCTTATCAAATTATTCTTCTTTTATGCTTTCTAATTTTGATATATTCTTGTGGCTTGTCTAGTTGTACGAAGGTTTGGCTGATCAACTGACTGACATTGTCGTTAATTCAGTGAGTTAACCTATCTCTATTAGAATCTCATTGTGCTTTTCATTTTTTCCCCACTCAGATGTCTTATATATGCACCAATATTGGTTTTCGAGCGCTTGTTTGTTTTTTAATTATATGATTTCCGCACATTACAGGTTCTCTGCATTCGAAAGCCTGAGGAAGCTATTGATCTGTTTATGGTGGAAATAATGCACATGCGTCATAAATTCGATGTTGACACACGATTGGTATGTCTTGAAGTGTGGGGTTTAATGTAAAATAGTTCCCTCAAAAACTTGTAGGTTTATTTATGAAAAACTTGTATGGAATGAAATACATTTTTTTCTTTCCGGTTATGCTTAATTGCTTTCATAGTTTTGGACCTGATGCAATTATTGATTCAATCCTTTATTAGGTTGAGGGGCTTGTTCTGGATCATGGTTCAAGACACCCTGACATGAAACGACGCGCAGAAAATTGCCACATCCTAACTTGTAATGTGTCATTGGAGTATGAGAAGAGGTGTGTAATATAATTCTTTGGTCAATTCAGTGAAGAGAAAATAAGAGCATGTATGTTTCTGGCGATGTAGACTAATATATCTTTTTATCTGTCAGTGAAATTAATGCAGGATTTTTCTACTCTAATGCGGAGCAGAGGGAAGCCATGGTTACTGCAGAAAGGCGATCTGTTGATGAAAGAGTTAAGAAAATAATCGAGCTGAAGAACAAGGTGGGACTGATACCATTTCTCCCAGCTGTATATTCTAGAACGTTGTAAAAATTAATAATACATGTTTTATTTCTTGTGCAGGTGTGTGGTGATAATGACAACTTTGTTATCATAAATCAAAAGGGTATTGACCCACCATCACTGGATCTTCTTGCTAGAGAAGGGGTAAGCTACTTCTATTTTTCCCTGCTTCCACACTAAATTAGAAATAGCTGAAACTGTTTTCATCTGATATGAAACAATAAGAAGGATGCTATATGTATTGTTAAGTGAACTTAAATTGACAATAGAGTTAAAAGAGCAGTTCCTTGGCCACTGACTGCACTTGTCTCTTCTTTTGTACGTAAATTCTCTTGTTTAGAGGTTGTTAAATCTAATTACCTTTCCTCATGTGTCCAGATTATTGCTCTTAGGAGAGCAAAGAGGAGGAATATGGAACGCTTAGTTTTGGCGTGTGGTGGAGAAGCTGTGAATTCTGTTGACGACTTGACCCCTGAGTCTCTTGGATGGGCTGGACTTGTCTATGAGCACGTTCTTGGGGAGGAAAAGTACACCTTTGTGGAGCAAGTGAAGAATCCTAATTCATGTACTATCCTCATAAAAGGTATTAGGCCGGCTTCTATGTCTTCATTAAGTATTGAAGGTTCATTCACTCTTGTATTAGTTTTGGTGTTCATTCTTTATTTCTTTGGTTTTCTAGGGCCTAATGATCACACTATTGCCCAAATTAAGGATGCTGTTCGTGATGGTCTAAGATCAGTCAAGAACACCATAGAAGATGAGTGTGTTGTGTTAGTAAGTGCCTTACTATATCTTGAAGCATTTAGTTGTTAACCTTGCTTTCTGTTTCTCTGCAATGCAAATAAATGGTTAAAAAATGATTAAAACCATGGATAGGTTAGCACTTAGCATGTAGACCTGTTGATATGTTCTTTGTTATGTTGATGTGCGGTTGCATATATCTTTAGGGAGCAGGAGCTTTTGAAGTTGCTGCAAGGCAACACTTAATCAATGAAGTCAAGAAAACTGTTCAAGGGGTAAAATTGATTATATTCGTACACTAATTCTCACTACACTATTAAATGCATATAAAGTATTCTAAATTACTAATACAATCATGAACATTGCAGCGTGCCCAACTTGGCGTTGAAGCTTTTGCTAATGCCCTTCTCGTGGTACCAAAGACACTAGCAGAAAATGCAGGTCTTGATACCCAAGATGTGATCATTTCTCTTACGGTATGCATTCATCTTTCATATCATCAGCAAACTAAAATCAGTTGTAGAAGGAACACAGATTTATAATTGCTAATTGTGATACTCTTATGCAGAG